GTCTTTATTCGAGGGGGGCGTTTATTATTTGTGTGTGTGTGTGTGTGTATGTGTGTGTGTGTAAAAATGGATACCGTACGCATACTCAAAGAGAAAAAAACACATTACCGTGAAAATGCTGTGCGTAAATCATAAGACATATTTGATCCCAACCAGGTTAGAACATATGTACGGTAATTCTACTTGATTAGGGTATTTTGTTTTTAATTCAATTACACATTTTTCAATCAGTGGAGAAATTAAATACAAGATTCCATCTAAAATATAATTTAAAATTAAGAACAAAAGTAAATAAGTATTAAATATAATTTTAATAAAAGTTATGATTGATACATTTCTGAATAAATAATTTTCATCTGTTTTCTAAATAATTTAACTTTTATACATATTTTTAATTTATCATCAATATTATTCCATAATTTGAGTCAGTAGACCGTAACTTTTTCTGAGTCTTACAAAAGGAACAAAGTAAATTTTTATTCTTTAAATAATAGTCATGAATGCTTTTAGAAATTTGAGAAATTGCAAGTGTAGAAGCTGGGAGTTGACCATACTGTAACATAAAAGAAGAAACTTGTACTCTATGCAAATCTATAATGTTTTAAATATTTAGTTCTTTAAACAAAGGTTCTGAAGGAGATGCAAAAGGAGATAAATTAATTATTATGACAACACGTTTCTGAAGTTTAAGTATTCTGTCCAGATTTGAAGGATAGGCCTAATCACTGCACCACACGAGGTTATATTATAAGGTAATATAAGTGTATTATATAAATTAATTAAAATATATCGTGGAAAAAATAACTTTAGTCTATTTATAGAAGGGTAATTTTCGTCGGGGAACCCATATCAAGGATAACACTCATGATAAATAATTCATTGAGGTCGTGGAAAATCTCGACTTCGACTTTGTTCGGAAATCTGTGGCGCGTTCAAGGGGGAGTGGGAGGCTAAATTGTTCAATTTTCAATTTAATGGAGATATATGGAAAATTATATTCAAATTTTAAGCATGAGAGTGTAATTTCCGGCCATCTAGAGGTGCCATAATAACAAATTTTCTTACCTCAGCCCCAACCATGGTGGGGCTGATGTGGTCTGCTGAAGTATCCAGTGGCGGATTCAAGGGACCCAGGCGGCCCGCCAACGATCTTTGGCTAAAAAAGATCTTGTTTTTTACAACCATCGTCTGTAAAAAGTAATATTAAAACAAACATATAAACCAATCCGTATAGAAAGCAGTTTATTGTTGATTCGACCAACGAGAAGAATTCTGAGATTCGATTTACGAGATTCTGTTCTTTCTCCTCAGTAGAAACAGGCCCTTTGACACCCATTGATAATTTTGGCAGAAAATTGAAAATTTCCCCTTTGAATAAGAGGCTACTTTTATAATATATATATATATTGGTTTTTGGTGCAGATGTGTATGACATGCTCCATATTGAATACCGATTGTGTTAGTAGTAATGGTTTTGGTAGACCCAACTAAACTAAAAAAAATCCCTTCAAATATTAAAGAGTGCATTACAATATATAGTGACTTCAATACAGTTTTTTTTTAAATAATGATGATGATATTATTATACACATCAAAATAATACACAACATAAGATGATGTATTGTGTATACAGTGCTTAATTGAAAAGGCATATAACTGATAGTTTTAGTAGGACGATGTTGTTAGTAATTGTAATTGAGATTTAGGTATCAGAACGAGCACAGGACTTGATGCGTGAATACCCAAAAATGGTTTATCAAGAATCAATAACAGCATACAGTAACTGTAAATCTATTCCAAAGCATTTGGAATAAAATGATCTTACATTTACTATACCATTTCCTAATTTCCCTCTAAATACAGTAGTGATATTTAAAACCATTTTTAGTGCCGGTCTTTATTAGAAGAATTCGAATTGGAGACCAAAGCTGCTGAAGACCACCAAAACCACAGTCCCAAAAATGGTCTTTAATTTTTGGGACTGTGTCTCAAACAGGTCTCACCCTAACACACTGACCAGACAGTGACGTATACGGGGATGGGTGGGGGGAGCCGTGGGAGTCGCGGCTCCACCCCTCCCCCTTCTTTGTACACAATGTTAAAATCTTAAAGCCTTGTTCTTGCTAGCCAATACAATTCTTTCCAGGTATCACTCAAAATTATTACTTCTAAACTACCGTATGTAAATATGCATCAGCACACATACATAGGCCTACTATAATAACACATACGCCTCCATGATTTTTCAAAATCTCAAATCCATAAATCCCAGGCCAGGTTTTTCAGATACAGAAATGTGATATTGTATGGTTCAGTTTGGTTTTTATCCTTTTGTAAGCTCTAAAAAATGTTGTACTATAGTACTACTAGTAGTAATAATAATAATTATGATGATGACGATGTTGATAATAGATACCGGCAATGATATTAAAAAGCGAAGAAAATTGTGCTAAAGGCGAAATAAGTAAGTTGTGAGTTGTGATTTGTTATTATATATTTATAATTATTATAGTATAGTTCAAGCTTAGTAAGCTATAGTTAGACCTAAGTTGTCATGAGAAATTTGTTGGCGCTTTATTTTGACTATATAATGATGATGTGATGATGAATGAATTTTACTATATAAAAGTGTCATTTCCGTCCATCTAGAGGTACTATTTCCTCAAATTTTCTCACGGGTTTGAAGCATGTAAAGTACCTACTCAAAGACAATGCTTTTAGGCTTTATTTCTATGGTGCATCGCACATATTAATAAGATCTCTATGGTTGCCGAAAATCCCTGACAGATCATAAGAAATTTGTTGGTGCCTTATTTTGAGATAGGTGATGATGGTGATGAGTTTTACTAAAAATGTCATTTTCTGGTCATCTAGAGGTAATATTTCCTGAAGTTTTCGCACCTCAAGATGGTCTTGCTCAGATGAATTTAGACAAACACATGCCCCTCCCCCTCTCTCCACTCACCTTTCAAAAAAATCTTTGATGCCCTTGCTCTGGCCTCATTTATGATGGGCTTATTTTGATGTCCTTCCATCACTCACTAAACTATGACACCTCCTATCATCATCCTCTTAATCACCACCATCGCCATATAAATGAAATTACAATTACAATAAAAGTTGTATGTTGTTCCAGACTCCAGTGCTATGACAGATAGGCCTATAGAAGAATGAATAAGTAATGACTTAAAACATCAGAGTGAGGGTTACAGTATATATTTCAATAGTGGATTAAAGGGGAGGGGGAGGTCGGCTAGGGTCCCTCCCTCAAATTGTTTAAATATTATTTAAAAAAATTTAGGAAAAATTCATATTTAAGTTTGAGAGTGGCACCATTTCTGGCCACCTGGAGGTGCCATAATCATACATTTTATACAGCCCCACCATGTTAGAGCTAAGGTGGTCTAGATCGTCGACCCAGTGAAAGTCCCTCCCTGGGATCCCTCTACACTAAAGATTCCACTGAATTTGAATCTATGAAATTAGTTGGTACAAAGTATACATAACACACATACCCATTTAAGGATAAAAATGTTTTATATTGTTATTTTGAGTAAAATACTGATGACGGAATCAGTGGTGGCACCAGTGGGGTCCAAGTGATCACAGCCCCCTCCCCTCCCCTCTGTCAAAAAAAAAAAATTTGTCGGGGAGAAAAAAGCTTTTCACAGGGTATGAAACTCATTTTAAGTTTTTTAAAGCGTTAAATTGTTAAAATTTCCTGCCCAGGAGAGTCCCCCCGGGGTCCCCTATGTCTAATTTGGATGTCATTAACTCCCCACTTCCTCCTGTCGGAAAAATCAGCCTTTCTCCACCCCTCCCGACTTCCGGTCATAGTCTAGGAACCTTGAAATTGGGCGAAGGTAATGGGGGCTCAATAATAATAATAATAATAATAATAATAATAATAATAATAATAATAATAATAATAATAATAATAATAATAGTAATAATAATAATAATAATAGTAATAATGCTAGTAATAATAATATAATAATAGTAATAATAATAATAATAATAATAATATTATTAATAATAATAAAAATAATAATAGGCTTTATTTAAACACGGAAACTTGGCTCAACTAACAGTTGTTATTCTGTAAAGCTGTGTATACAAAAATGTAACCAGAAAATCAAATGAAAAAATGACTTAAAATTAATCAAACAATTTTTTAAACGACTAAATATCTTAACTAGACTTATCTTAAACAAACTTAATTACACTTTACAAATTAACTGAAACACAAAACAAAAATACAGTAGTTTACTACCACAAGGGTGTTTGCAAACATTCTGTTACGTGTATTTACAATTATATGCTTTTTAAATAAAGACAATTTCTTAACATTTTTAACATTATCGCTAATAATTTCATTCCAAAGTTTTTGCACCTCTATATTGTGACAAACTTCTCTTTTTGTAGTCAGTTTTTGGATTTGGCAATATTAATTCTGGTTTAGTTCTAATTATATCATGGTAATTATTTTTAAAAGCCAAATCTGTTAGATAATGAGGTGCAAGGTTATTCATAATCTTAAACAGATGGCTTTTGGTCTAACTAATTTCATCCATTTAAAGCCTTGCAGACCTTGAGTACTGGGAACACTTCTTGATTTGTTTAGAATAATTTTAACTGCACGGTTTTGAAGAATTTGGAGTAATGATCAGGTGGAAGCGCCAGCTCGCAAACTAAGATGATTTGAGGTGTTTTTTGACTATAAATGACAGTGGTTTTTTTTTAATTGTGGGTATGGGTGGGTGCATGAGGAACTTCTAATCCCTAGATATGCCACTACAGACCTCCCGTCGATCCTGGCGGCATCACTGGACAGAATAATAGGCATATTGAGAATAGTAATGCTTAAATTTAGGCAGGGGGTGGGGTGGCGCTTTTCGAAATTTTAAAATTTATATTTCTTTGTAACTGTATGATCAAAGAGTATGCCAGTCAAATTTAATGATGTTGCTCTTTACTTGCTCGTTGGTGGCGCTGTCTAGAATGAGTGTGTACGCGCACGCATGTTGTTTCGTCGTGCTAGTGCTGTGGTGTGGGAAACCAACCTCTTGTAAAAAAGCGTCTTTGCGAATTGTATTGAAGAATGTCATCGGATTCAGATTCAAATGAATATTTGGATTCCGATGAAGAGGTAAGATAGAAAGTAATAAAAACATTTTAAAATGCAGCTTGACTGTTTGAATGTAGTGTCAAAAAAGGCGCATGATAGCTAGGCTGGGTTCGGAGCGTTCTATTCTATTCTACTACTAGGCCTAGCTACCTACCTCTCAGCCTGTACAGGCAGAATACAGGCTGACGATATCGGTTCCTGTTGTTTGTGATTAGACGGTTGGTCCCGTTTTCTGGGTTCTCAGAGCCTAAGCCTAGTCACCGTACGTGTTAACATTAATATCATAGTTCCAAGTGATTTTATTCGTCATGTAAATACTTGTAACTAGGAGTAGTACCAGACTGTATGGTCGCTAATGCACTGTTGCACCTAGGCCTAACTGTCTTTTAATTCTGAATTTTTTTACCTCAATGTTCTTCTCACACAGTCACAACATATCAAACATGAGGACAAAGTGTGAGTTGTCCTCACACTGAGGAAGAACACAGGAGTGTTTGAAATATTTGTGAATTAATAAATTATATTGCTTCTAATATGTCTACAACTCATAGCTATTTTATATTGCTGTCTTTCTATGTTTTTTATTTATCGAAGCAAACGTGGAATCTTCATTTATTAATATATATATATATATATATATATATATGTCTCTTATACACATCTAGATGTGTATAAGAGACAGAGATGAAAGAGGATAGGGATGATAGACTATTTAAAGGATAAGAGGCCTTATGTTCAAATGAAGAGAAGAGCGGAGTAAATTCAAAGAAAGGTAAATACAGAAGAGGGTAAATTTAACTGTGTTAACGGCTATCTTGATTATTATTATATACATATACGTATATATATTCATATATATATATACATATATATATATATATATATGTACATGTTTTTGA